ATTTATTATATATGCATCGGGTTACGCAAATTACGACAAAGTGCAAATATTTCACATGACCTGCACCTGCGTGACTCCCCTTTCTACACGTGATCATTTAAAGTAAACACGTGAATCGTAACAGCATGCCAAGAGAGAGAGAAAGGGGGGGTCCTTCTTTTACGCGACGAAAACTCATACACATTCACGCGAACACACGCTTTACCCTAATTATCTTCGAATTATCATTCCTGACAATTAACCTCTTTATCTGACTCTAATGTTATGTATGAAATTTATTTGCATATTTCCATGCAAGAAAATAGAGAAAGATGCGTTAAAGTATTTGATCGATCTATTCGTGCTCAATATTAATATTCCTTCTTACTTTTTATTAATTTTTTATCGGATTAGAAAAAAAAAAGAAAAAAGAAACAGTATCATTACGAAAGAACGAAATTTCTAAAAATTTTTATTTTTCTTTTTTTACTATCTTTTTTCTTCCTCTTGGAAGTAGAAATTTAAGATAAAGAGAAGAAATATAAAAAAATATCGTAAGTTAAATATGGTCGAATAATTTATTTGAAACGAACGTTCTCACCTTTTCTCTCTCTTTCTCTCTTTCTCTCTATCTCTCTTTCTCTCTTTTTTACTCTTTCGTTTTTTTTTCCTGTTTCTATCAAAAGTGCCTCCTATAATACCGTAGAAACGACTAACGAGATTTTAAGCTTGGTAATAAGGAGAATCCCCCACTATAACTACAGAAGCCTCGCAACTTATGAATGGGAGTACTCGCCCATTGGTCGCCTTTGATAGCCAATGGCTGCCTTTTTCGCTCCCTCGCTACGTTCCCATCTCTAACGTCGCGTGCTACTTGCAATGTAATAGCAGGGGAAAAAGGCGAGTAACTCGATGTTAAACGCCCTCCTAAAAACATAATACATATGTGCGAAACTTTCCTTTAGTTCGATCGAATTTTATTATTATTGATTGTTAATACGAACTCGAGGTCATATATTTTAATCTACAGAAGTTGTTTCTCTTATATAAGTGTTAAAAAAATTTATAAATGATTATAAACATAAAACTTTCTTGTTTTTGTTTCTATAAAAAAAAAAGAAAAGTATAAAAAAGGAAAGAATAAAAAGATTAAATAGGTAATATTTTTATTAACATCGGTTTACGATCATCGGTAAATCGCACTCGATTTTACAAACTTAGTTCAAAATGGTTATAAAATTCGTTTATCCTCAACATTCACCTATGTATATCATAATAAAAGTGAAGACTATTAGAAAAGATAATCATTAACAATGAATTTTTTAATTATATAATACATTCGATGAATGTATCAATGATATTAAATATCATTTCGACAATTAATGCATATATATATACATATATATATCCATATAAATATATATATAAATATATATATATATATATATATATATATATATATACAGATCTTTTATGTGATTATTTATATAAACTCTTTAAAATTCTTGGAACAACATCGGCTTATTCGAATAGCATCGACCAATAGGTAAAGCGTAAAAAACTAAAGAAGAATGCAAAATCGAATGCGAATTAACATAATGGCCGGCACGAAGCAAAACCATGCTCTACGTATGCTTGAGCGAATAGTAAAGTATAGTCCCTGAGTGTCGGTTTATTATATCCCTCTAACTATCCATCATCAGTTCCAGCAGCATGCCTATGCATCAACGATCAACGATCACGTGCTATTTCTACCACTAAAACAAATAGAAAAATGTCCGCCATTTTGTATGTCTTTCAGATGTTAAACATAATGTATTTCTTCTTTCTCTTCGTCATTTTCTCTTTCTCTTCCCCTATTATTTACGAATATTACGAACAATGAAATAAATTTCAAACAAATGTTACTTTGTAGTAAATCTTTAATACATTTTTATTTAATTCGAAATTGAAATTTGTTTTACTATAAAACGAACAAAACGAAAGATATAAAACGATTTCAGAGACAAGATGTACTCATTGAAATTTTTAAATCACGTTAAATCATCGGGATGATTTCACTCTGACTGGAATATGAATCAACGACGGTTCAGTATGCATATTACTAAATGCAAATGCACTTCGATCGTTGAGGGTTGCGTTGTAGAAGAGAATACCGTAAGGCGATTGTCGCTAAACTTATGTTAAGTACAGGGAACGAACTCGTCGGCAAATCTCTTATGATAGAGAACTGCAGTTCTGGGTATGTCAAGGTGATGATACGATGACAGCATAATTAATAGAGAACAGTCATCTAATTACGCTCATAGCGCTGAATCGTACGTCATAGCAAAGCTGTTCTTACGGTAAAATATAACGTTTATACCTGCATAAATGTATACCCATGTAATAATTTTTAAAAGATCTTTAAAGACCGGATCTTTCCGTAACTTTAGATTTTATACAATAGGAGGTGAGGGGTGGGAATGACTTGAGTTTTAAATAATTAATTATATTTGTTAAAAGAAAAAAACATTAGCAATATTATCAATGTATATATAATAAATCAGATTATCAATGATATAACATTACATAATATTGCATTTACAATTAACAAATTAAGAATTACTTCACTACTTTTATATAGTATTCGTATTATACAAGCAACAAATAATGTTTATGCTATTTTCATTCATTTAATCCCATATGTCTCCGTATTTCGTTTTGTGATTTCCAGTACCACTTGGCATAGGGAAAAGATCAGAATCTATGTTTAACTCTGATTTAAAGTCTTGATTTTCTGTGGGTTTATTTTCTCTTGAATCAATGGATCTGCAAAGTATAATTTATGTATAATATTATGATATAATTAAAAATTATTACATAATGCTATTTACCGTTTTACATATCTATGTTGTACTTGTCCTGATCGAAAACTGTCTCTGTTTTTCTGTCGTAATTCATCATAAGTTATCCCTTCAAATACTTTCTTTTCTTTCTTTTCTGGTTCATCAATATTTATGACTGGTTGATATTCATCTTAAAATATAAATATCTTGAAGATCATTGAAATAATGATAAGTTTATAAAAATGATATTTTTTTTACATACGAGCATTAACAGAAGAAAATTCATTCTGTTGGTCTATTTGTTGAAAGGCTTCAATATCTATTGAAGATCCTTTTTTCAAAGATTCTCTTTCCAATGGTTTTTCTACTTCAAAAGATTTATGGTTACTTAGTTGGCTATAAAAAAAAAACATATTTTTAATTAAACTTATTGTGTTATTAATTTAAAAAATTAAGAGTAGAAAATGTGTTATATACGAACCTATATTCACTATGTGGAAGATTTTTAATTATAGATAAACAATTTTTAGAATGCATATATCTTGCAAAGACAGATCCATATACACCTCCAACGAAAGTAAAAATTAAAAAAGATTTTTTCAATGGTTCAATCATCAATGGAATAATTGCTCCTATTGCAGAACCAACTAATGCACCAACGTAGGTAGACTTTCGTGCTTCTGCACTTACTATACATTTTGTAACCTCGTCTATTATTTCTGGTGATATTTTTCCTTCTGGATTCTAACAAATAAATGATACATTATGTTATAATCATATATGATTAAAATATTATACTTAAACTACATACATTACTTCCATAAAGTTTTGTAAACAAATTCCGGAGTCTTTCTCTTTTTTCTTCATCTGTCATATTTATCAATATATTTTTGTTGTATATATATATATATATAATATATATGTAATGAATATATGTATGTATATATATATATATGTATGTTTATGTGTAAATTTAGAACAAAAATTATATTCGATAAGAAATAAATAAATAACCTCTCTTTACTTCATGGGTATGACGACCTCTATCGTCTCCTTAATGTACAATTCAAATCAATTTATCTTGAGAAAGATGCATGGCTACCAAATGTCTAACACAATGCTTCCCTATCTAGTTTCCCTAAATCGTTTCCCTATCTAGTTTTATAAACGACGAATAAAATTAACATAGTAAGATAGGAGAAATATAATTTTCATTGCATAAAGTACAAAATTTATTGACAATATGCTCATTTCTTATCATCCTATTTTAACAATAATAATAATGAGTTGAGAATGTAAGGGACTTAACCAATGAGACTCAAATGATAAATATAAATTATTGTCTGCACATATTCCATTATTTGCATTTTGTTCTTTTCCTTTTTGTTTATTTTCGTGTATAGCTAAATATACTTTCTGATTGATTATCTTGAACAAATAATTCTTATTGATCTTGATCGGGTTTTATTAAATTTAATATTCATCATATATACACACACACATACATGTAAACACATATATACTTATATACGTTATATGAGCTAATTTGTTCGCGCATGCGTAATAATTTTCGTTTATTAGTATTGAAGGTGTCTCAAGTTGTTAGAAGTTATTATCATCCTGTTTAACATTCCTTAAAAGCAATTATTTTTTTCCCGTTAAAATACTTTTTTTTTATATCTTGCATGTAGAAATTTCCGTTTGTAGGAAAAACAGTGAAATTACAATATGACGCCAGTCGACAGTACTCCGAGAGAAAATATGGGAGGCTTTGAGCTTATTTGTTCATTGAAGTCAAACGATATTATACCGGTACATAAATATAAATCTAATAATACAGGTCTAACGGTTTTTATAGCAGAAGTTGATGGTCCGATTGTTGATGGTTACTTTTGTCTTGGTAATTATTACTTTATATTATTAAAATTCATAAATAAAATCTCTTTATATATTTTGTATTTCTTTATGCATATTTATATGTCTATATATATTTTAAATTGATATAAAAATAATTGTGGTTTTTACGCATTGAGTAAAATAATAAAGATACCAATTATTTTTGTAGCAACCTAATATATGAATAAAGTAATTATTATACTTAGTGTCATCTTTATTGAAAAATAGCAACCGAAGCATTCGATGATGATGGATTACCGCATACCTTGGAACATCTCATTTTTTTGGGTAGTGAAAATTATCCATATAAAGGAATTCTTGATTTAATGGCCAATAGATGTCTTGCATCTGGTACTAATGCAACGACAGATATAGATGTTACCTTCTACACTATGACAACAGCTGGTAGCGAAGGATTTTTATCATTAATGCCTATTTATCTGGAACATATACTGTATCCTACGCTACAGGTTTCGTTTATTATTTTGAATAATAAAGTTGAAACTGTATTTGTAAACCATCTATACATAAAGAAATGTTTTATATTTACTTATTTACGCTTAGGATGCTGCATATCTTACGGAAGTTCATCATATTAATGGAAAGGGTGAAGATGCAGGAGTCGTTTATTGTGAAATGCAAGGGAAGGAAAACATAGGAGAATATCTGGTCTATAATGAATTATCTAGAGCAATATATCCTGGGCATTGTGGCTATAAATCAATGACAGGAGGTGATATAAATATTACGATTATTAATAGTATTTACTAATTCAATAATATTAAAACATTCTATATTCTTATAGGAGCATTAAAAAATTTAAGAGAGAGTACAAATAATGATAAAGTTAGAAAATATCACAAGGAATTCTATCGTCCTGAAAATTTAACAATAATAATAGCAGGACAAGTGAATCATGATAAAGTTTTTAAAGCGCTACAACCTGTAGAACAAATGATTCTGTCAAAAGTAAGTAAAAATAGCTAATATTTATATATCTGTATAAAGCTTCTATATAACAATCATTATTTAAATAAACCTAGCAAAATAGTTTTGAAATATGAAATATTTTAGGGTCCTAGAGGTCCATTTGAAAGACCTTGGCAAAGTTCAGTACCACCATTTACAGAAAGTGTGTACATAGATTTGTTTTATCCATGCGATGATGAAGATAATGGTATAATAAATGTTGGTTGGCGTGGACCATCCTGTGTTCATGAAATTTATGATCGAATTGGTTGCTCTTTGTTATTGAAGTATCTTACAGATACATCAGTTAGTCCACTACAAAAAGATTTTGTAGAGATAAAGGATCCTTATGCGAGCAATGTTGTATATTCCTTGTGTGAAAATTCTGTTTCTATTCTTTATATAATTTTTGAAAATGTTCCTAAACCTAAAATTCCTCTTTTCTCGACCCGTTTATCAGAGGTTTTAAAGCAAATACATGAAAATGGTATTGACATGAAGAGAATGAAATCTGTGATACATAGAAGTATGCTTGAAACTTTAAGTAATCTAGAGAATGATCCGCATAACACTGTAGCATTTATGATCATTGGAGACGTTTTGTATGGTAATACTAAAGAAGATGTAAGTTGTTTAACTTATCAATTCACATCGTACTTAATCATATCAAGTTTCAACAAGTTTTTTTTTTGCATGATTGTTAGCTGGATCAACGATTGAATCAAATAAAAGAAATTAAAAAATTATTTGAGGAACCAGAATCATATTGGTTAAATCTCTTGAAAAAATATCTTATTGATGCTCCGGTAGTGATTGTCAAGGGTATACCTAGTATAGAAAAACGACATCAGCTAATGGAAGAAGAAAAAGTACGTGTTGCTAAACAAATAGAGAATTTGGGCAAAGAAGGCTTACAGAAGAAAGAAAAAGAGCTCCAAGAAGCAGTAATTCAAAATGAGGTACAATGATCATGAAATTTATACATATATATTTATGTATTATTAATTTTTAATTAGTTTTTAATACATATCTTTCATTTACTTTTAGAAATCAATTCCTGATGAATTATTAACAGCTATATCAATTCCTGGCACTGATTCCATTAATTACCACCAAATTAAAAGTTACACCACAGAAACACATGAACAGCATCCATATTTTAATATTACGAAGTTGCCACTGTTTACATATTTAGATCATGTGAACACAAACTTTGTTTATGTAAGTAATAAACGAATTATTTTTAAAAGTACATAATCGAGATAGGCTTTCTGAGCAAGTTTATAGATATAGAATTTTAGATTTCTGCTATCATGGATACATCATCCATCACGAAAGAGCAAAGATTGTACCTACCATTGTTACTTGAAGCATTCATGGAGTCTCCAGTGAAAAGAAATAGTCAATTAATACCATATGAAGAAGTTGTTGCTACATTAGAAGCTGATACTGTTGAAACAAGTACTTGCATAGGAATGGATAGATTCATCAGATTTTCTTGTGGGCCTTACAGTCATAGTGCAAGTTTGATGATCCAAGTAATATATAAATTTGATAATGATTATGATGTTTATAAATTAAGAAGAATATGTACTTAAGAATAATTTTATATTCTTCAGGTGGAATTAAGTAAATATAAAAAAGGCGTACAATGGATTAGAGAACTTCTATATGAGACAGAATTAATGTCTAATAGATTAAAAATAATTGCAACCAAGATGATAAACAATGTTGCACAGATTAAAAGAAGAGGAAGTAAAATAGTCAGTGATTTGATGAAAGGTTTAACATATAATGAAGGTAATTTCGATATTTTTCACGTTTCATTATATAAAGATAATTTCGAATATTCAATATTGTATATGTATGCATGTATCTTACTATTTCTATTTATGTTTTTGAAGATAACAATTTTTATGCATCAAGTCTTTTACGCCAACAAAAATTCCTTACTAAAATGATCGAACGTCTCAATAATGAATCGAGTGAACAAGAAGTAATAGAGGAAATCGAATTGATTAGAAAAGTCTTAACTTCTACTGAAAATATGGTATTATATATAGCTGTTAATATCGATAAATTATCAGCGGAAGTTGAAGATGTCTACGCTCCATGGAATGATTTTTTTTCGGACGTAAACACTATTGGAAAGAAGCCGTAAGGATATTTAATCGAAACTACGTACACAATTATATATTTTATGGTACCAGTTAATTAAAAAAAAAACAATGTTAATATTATAGACTGAATGTAACTTCCGACTGGCAGCTAATGAATCTTTCCAAGGATGATACACGTCAAGGTTGTGTAACAGGTTTAGGATGTATAGATTCATCGTATCTAGCACAATCCTGCCAAAGTATAAACGATTTTCAACATGAAGATTTAGCGGCTCTATTTGTATGCTTGCAATATTTAAATCAAACCGAGGTATGAAAATATAACTATTGGGTTGGCAACTAAGTGATTGCGGATTTTGTCGTTTCCTTATTTTAAATCCGGCAATCACTTAGTTGCCAACCCAATAGTATATTATAATGAATGTTCTGCAATGAAGAAAGTCATGTTTTTAGGGTCCTATGTGGAGATTAATTCGAGGACAAGGTCTTTCATATGGCTATGGTATCTATCCAAAAGTAAATGAAGGTTTATTATATTTCTCATTGTATAAATCAGCCAATGTTGTAGCAGCATACAAAGAAGCAAGAAATATAGTTGTAAGTAATAATGTTACATCTGAAAAAAACAAAGAGAAAAAGAATAGATTTTCACGAATATTTTTTTCCTTTTAGCAAGCACATTTTGCCAAGGATAAATGGGAAAAGTTACTTTTTGAATCGGCTAAATCCTCATTAATATTTGAGATTATTAACAAGGAAAAAACTGTAGATGACGTAGTTAAACAATCACTCTTGTTTTATTTTAAAAAAGTACCACACGATTACAATAATCAAATGGTACGTCGTATATCGACCGTTACCATAGACGATCTAAATCGCGTAGCAATTCGCTATGTGAAACCATTGTTTTATCCATCGGAAACTAAAACAACTATAGTTTGTCATCCATCAAAGGCTTCGGAAGTGGCAGCTGCATTTAACGAGTAAGCCTCTATTAAATATTTTATTAAATATTTCTCTCAAAAGAATTCAAATAATCCATTTTTTTCACATACATATTATCTTCATTTTAGATTAGGACATAAATTGGAGGTTTATAATTCCTTAGAAGAAACATTCTTGAATGAGTAAAAAATGTAAGATAATGAAATTAAGATATACTTTTTACTAATTTTGATTAATTTGATTAATTTTTTCGGAGTTGGCTGCTTGTACATTGCTGCTGTACGAGACAATTTAATCGCGAGTGTACACTTTACCATAGAATGTAATATTTGATACTTTGTCATATTATGCAAATTATTAGTTAATTATTCAAATTATATAAAATTAATATAAAACGAATTATAAATGAATATACGTAAGAAAAGCGTTGAGAGGTTTCTATGATGATATTAATATACGTTACGATACTTAAAATGCTTAATTCAAACAGAATTTTGTCAGGTGACTATAATGATCTTTAACACATAATGAACGTTTAACGTTGGGTGACAATAGTCATCTTTAGTATAGAGCGACGTTAGGTTACTACAGTCACTTTTATTAAGGAAAGAGTTAAATATGATTATGTATTATTAAGATTTGTATTATTTAAATAAATAAAAATGAAGAAGCATAGCAACTTGAAAACTTCGAGCAAAAATCGATCCATTGTTACACAACCGTATAATACTTGTTTGAAGTATCACGAAAAAAAATCTAAAAAAATTGGCTATTCGAAGGATCAGCTCATTTCTCGCTTTATGATCACATTTTTATTGTAACTTATGACTGGCGATACATTTCTTCTCTTATTTTTCGATCCATCAAGATCGTAGGAATGTTACTAGCTTTATTAAAAGAGAGAAAGAAACGTTTAAGTCTAATCGATGATACATTATCGTCTTTGGCAGTTGATTTTACTTCTTTATTCTTATATAAAAACTTACTATCTAAAGTTGCGAAGAAAAATGAAGAACGAGTAATTTTTCAAAGAGAAATCGCGACACGTTTGAAAATGTTTTAGCCACGAAACGGATACACTTCTCAGCAATAGCGTACATTGTTTCTTTGGCTATCAGTTCAATCAAACACTTTTCTTATCCCTCTTTAGCTTCCAATCTAGTAGGATCGATCACGAAGGTAGAATGAAAAGTGACACGAGGAATAAAAATGTCGCATTAAACGCTGACACGTGCGAGGTGACCTGGTGTTGCCACAGCAGTTGTAGGTGGAGTCGTTGTCGTAGTCGGTCTTGTTAATGGTGAACGTTTCATAGGTACTTTACGTCCTCCTTGTTCACCTTTGAGCCAAGGCCACTGTAATGTACGCATCAAGGTATTTCTGAAGTCCTCTGAGAAGAGACAATAAATATAGAAGGTGATGGAATAATTGAGGACTTCCAGAAGATTGGCTAATGCACGAAAAACCTACACCGCGAGAGAAGAGAAAGAGTAATTAGCTTTAAAATTGGCGATAATCTTTATTCGTACTAAAAACTCGCCTGGTAAGAAAAATAACTGAGATTATTCTCACTCAGAGTGACGTTCAAAATGACCATCGGGCTGACACAAACCAGAAAGAGTATACTGGTGCTACCGAGAAGAAGTATCAATCTTCGTTCCTCAGCAAATGTCCGAGAATCTTCGTCGTTGCTCACGGTTCTTGATAAAGTCATGCGGCGACGTCGCTCACAAGATCTTCTATAGACTATCATGATTCTCAGATTGAAACCGGCTAACAATATTGTTGGTGCGATCTTGAAAACGACTTCGAGCACTACTTTATATACCTGAGAAAAGATTCAATAAGGAAAAGAGATTGAGCAAATTTGAACTTCATATTATAACATGATTGTTATCAAAATTTATGGGACCCTTTTAACAGGTTCTATTTAGCAGAATCATTACTAATATAATATTTTAATACCTGATAGAAAAGAGAGTGCAGGAACGATTGATTCTCTCTTTTTTGATAAATTAATGGTCCTTCATTAGTCAAAAAGCAAGTAGTTACTTCGCTACGAAATACACTGGGTAAATAGACCAAAAAAGTGGCTAGAGGAATAAGAGCCACGGTCAAATTCGGTGGTCCGCAAAGTGGTCGTGTGTGTTGTCCTGGATGACATACACTTACATAACGCTCAACAGTTAATGCCAATAACATCATCACTCCGACACCTATTGCAACATTTTAAACATTTAATATCGTATCTGGAAGTAAACATCTATTAGCAAGAAACTAATTTAACTAGTTCAATACAATGATTTTGTATTATTAATTACGTTTATCAACAAAGTATGAAGCGTTGTCTAGTCTCTGATTTTGAATATTTGTACAAATAATTGCAGAAAAAAATTAATAAATATGAAAAGAATTAACCGTAATCTTAAATCAAGCAATGAACGAATTGATTATGTTATATTGGGCATTAATCTTCCAAAAATGATTTATTGTGTTTTGTATTTATAAAAATATTTAACTAAATTATGTTACCAAGACATCCATTTCCAAGAAAGAGCTCGAGGTGTGCATGATAAAAAGCTTGTGGCCAATTATTCCATCGTCCTGTCTCTTTATGAATGAAAACTCTGAGTGCGAATGGAATGCAGAAAAGGATAGCAAGCAAAGCCGCAACAGAATAGCCTGAAACAGAGAGAAATTAAACGATTTCCACTTGTTATCAATATTTAATTATCTTATTCAGATATTCGAGTCACGTGTTCTACTGTAAGGTGATAATGAGAAAGGTAAAGGAAAGACGAGTTATAAACGAAGATACGAGAAAGCGAAAAATGCAATCCCTCGAAAAAGTTAAACGAACTTTGAGAACTAACTGAACCACCAATCCATGTTAACTGCTTTTCAAGCTTAAAAAATAATCTTTACAATGGAAGAATTTTTTTTTCTTAATTTTATAAATATATATATATATATATATATATATATATATATATATATATATATATATATATATATATATATATATATAATATATATATATATTTCTCCAAATAATTTTTTTTTATAAAGAAAAAAATTTAACACTCCTTGTAAATAAATTTTTTCTATAAAAATCTGCCAATTTTAATCGAAGAAGTTAATCAAAGATGGTTACCGAAAGGATTCTAGTTTCTTGATGCATTTAACAACTTCTTTTAGATCCATCATCAAAGTAAATAAATACGCGTCTTAACTTGGAACTACGTACCAAGACTAGGAAAGTATAAGAAAAATATTTCAAAAGTCGTCTCATCACGGGAGAAAGGCGTGTTTCAGTATCGTATCTCGACGTTTTACAAATCACGGTGTCACGACGCCTTTAATTTATCGAAATCTCCCGCAAAGTTAGCCGCAGCAGTAATTTGTCAACTGCTCTATCTAGTATCTCGTAGTGAACAATGTCGATGATGCCTCTCGAGTTCCCACGAGAAATTCTCAAAAAAGGTGTTTTTCACTATCATATATACATACATCGTTACTGTTTTCAAGAAGTTGCCAAGATTCTTGAATTTATGTTTAAAAACCTATTTATAAATTTTTACTTTTAGTAATAAATGATTATCCCTGAAACTGCTTGGGATATACAAAAATCATTTTGGATTTTAAGCCAAATTCATATAAAAATTTGAGTTTTAACTAAGTTTCATATCAAAATTTAAATATATACCCATGTGTAAGTATATCCACTTTACCATCTAAACGAGTGGGTGGATCCACTTGAAATTTATATATACCAAAAATAAGGTTAGATACTTGAACGTGGTTATTTACGATACGTAAATAAGTTCAATTTCAAAATGGCTATGTTTTCAAAAATTCATAAAAAATCTACTATGTATGTAACGAAAAGAATTTAAACTAACATTTAAAATATTCTCAGACATACTTATGAATTTTTTCGAAATTTTGTAAATTTATAAAAAGATTTTCATTTATTTTTTTTTTAAGTCTTCTATTAGAATTTGTATATAATATATTTCTACGCATATAGATTTATACGCATTTATATAAACGCATATGTACGCACATGTTACTGTCTAAACGATCGAACAATGATTAAGCAAATCAATAATTAAGCAAAGCTGTCAAAAACGTTTGAGATTGGTTTACAATTTATCCCAAAGATCCACCTTACGAAGATGTAAGAATAATTACGAATTAATCCAATTTCAAAATGACGGGATTTTTAAAATTTAAATAATAAAATCAACTGAAATAATTAAAATTGAACAAGAATACTGTTGGCTATTAACATGATTTTAATCTGTCGTATCTATTGTAAAAAGAGTGAAGGTGATTTCTTTTTTTTTTTTTCAAAAAGAGAAATCGTACTTAGATATGCATTTTTTCAAATGTAAGATTTGTTCGTATAAACGTTCAATTCATACTTGTATTTTTTTCTTTTCTTCTCAAATCTTTCTGTTCTCGTTTCTCTTCATTTTTATTTTTAGAAATGTAACTCAAACCGAAAAGTTGAGAATCAAATATTTTGTATATATCAAATATATCAAATATATTGTTTTGAGTAAGCTTATTGAAAAAATATAGTAAACTACGTAATGAAACTCGAACGATTCTTCAATCATCGTCGGCAATTAATTCGGCGAGCACCTTTATGCTCGACGAGGCGCGATTCAATGTTACATGCTCGGCCGCCATTGTTTTCTCCGAAACAATGGCGGCCGAGCGAGTAGGACGAATTAAACGACTCATTTAAATTTCTCAGTATCGTTCTTATCTCGTTTTCGATCTTCGATTCGCGAAGCATGATTCGAGTAGGTTATTTTACGATCCCCGAATATTTCATCGATCGTGAAATGAATCTAAACAGTTTCATTAAGGTGATAAGACGTAGATAAAAAAGTCATAAAGAAAAAAAAATTCCTTCAACAATTTCCAAAGCATTTAAAGAAATAGCTTGTTAAACTAATTAAAACCTCTTTCTAGTTTTTTCCAAGTTTTATTTTATTCTCGGGTCAATAATTTATTATTCGAAAAGAACATCATTTACGTGTTAATTTATATCACAAATACGTTAGTTGTTTCAAATATTAAGATATTATTATCTTAGTTATATTAAAAATATGTAATGTTGTAATCATTTATCAATATTTTGATAAAAATACAAAGAAATGATCTTTCATTTTGTATGACCCGTGTTATGATAAATATGAAGAAGTTATAACATCTTCCGATATAAAAATCTCTTTTTCTTTCATTTAGATTCTCCAAATTTATTGCGACAGTAACGGTAAGCACGGTGGCAACCGAGACTCTGTGCCAAGACGATGGAAGAAACGAAAAATTGGGGATGTGCTTCTGTTGCACTCATACCAGTAGAAACTTATAACAAGTCGGAAGGGAAGGCTTTACGAAGGAATGGTAACTTGTAATGTGGCTGACAACTGATAATAAACCATTCCATGGTTATATAGTTCTTACGTATATCCATTCATACAGGATATTTAAAAAGAAAAAGGTAGAGGATCTAGGTCAAATCATTAATCAAATAAAATTCAAAAGTAACTACGACTGATTTACATTTCCTTGTTTATTTATTTGTGAACAAATAATCATCGAGCATTGTTTTACGATATTTTTATTTTGACTAATAAAAAAAAAGGATTATCTTATTATTTCGCTTTTTT